CATTCGTTTGTTTAACCTATCTCAATTCAGAACTTCACATTTTAACATTAGAAACTTTCTGTGGTTCAGTTTTTTGGTTATCCAGTGAGTGTTATTTCCTCTAAATTTCTTCACTTCTTTTTTTCCCAACAGAATATTATCCACGGTGATATCAAACCAGATAACCTCTTGGTGACGAGCACTGGAAACGTAAAGATAGCAGATTTCAGTGTCAGTCAAGTCTTTGAGGTAAGTTTTGTCTTTCTGTTTTGAGTAACATTGATATTCATAGTCAGATGCATGCATGGTAGGGAGGGTGATGTTTTTCCATAGCTTCTCATCATTTTCATGTTCAGTTTTTCATCTGTGTTTGGAAGAAACATCTGACTTACCGTTAGCTAATGGAATATAGGGCGGCAAGACCATGGTGTTATTGGTCATTACAAGAAACACTAATTCATGAATATATTGCAACAAGACCATGGTGTTATGGGTCATCTTTTATTTCTTGTGAAGTGATAAGAGTTTGTTTATCAGGACAACAATGATGAGCTCCGCCGATCTCCAGGAACTCCTGTTTTTACAGCCCCCGAGTGTTGTTTAGGTAAAAGCAATCTGCTGTTATCAATCTCAGTAATTTGAAACTGCTCATGGCTGCTTTCCTCTGATAAAAATTTGTGAAAATCTTATCTTGATGTTCCCTCAATATCTATGCAGGATCAAGTTATCATGGTAGAGCTGCTGATACGTGGGCTTTAGGGGTTACTTTATATTGCATGGTTTTGGGTCAATACCCATTTCTTGGAGAGACACTACAGGACACTTATGATAAGGTGTTCCAACTTCTTCATGTTTTTCCTTGTGATTCAGCTATTACCAATTTCTATCCTAATTATTTGCTTGGCCTAATTTGAATTTTGATGTTCTTTATCCAGATTGTTAATAACTCTTTGACGCTTCCTGATGACATTAATCCCCAATTGAAGAGTTTGTTGGAAGGGCTTCTCCACAAAGGTCGGTCAGCAGTTTCAGGATCAATCAAACTTTGTTCTGTGTGTTCTCTGTAACACAAACACACACACACGCGCTCAAGGGAGAGAGCACGAATTATTGCAATCCCTATCTTCTAAAGTTTTTTTCGCGGATAATGAAAGGGTTTAAAGAGTTTTGGCCCATTCATAAAATGGTCACAAAATGAGCAGTTTTCAACAATACAAAAATGTCACCTGATTCATGGGTAAATAAATTTCATATAACATATGCCTCATCCACATTTTTTAAGGAAAAATTAAGCATGATGATTACTGTAGACCATCAATTATGATGGTCTGCAGTAGTTTTTGTTGATACTAGATATTTTTATCCTCTTTGTTGTGACGCACACACTAACACGCACACACACATACATGTATGTATGTATTTAAGTACATGCATGCATAATATTTAGGCTATATTCCAAAACTTTGGACAAATTTCAAAATATTAAAAAGAAACCCTTAGGTTAGGGGTTGTCAGAAAACTCCCCTAAAAGTGTGAAATTTTTGGCTAGTGTTGCTTCGGGGGGGGGCGGGGGGGGGGGGGGGGGGTATTGGGGGTTATTGTGATAATCGTCCAATGTTATGGAGGTTTTTCTGAAATATAGGCCTAATGTTAATTAGTAAATTAGGGCTAGCGTGTCTCCATGGTGTTTTCTGTGTGTTGCATGTGACACGTCCAAGCCGTCAGCTATGATCTAAGTTATAACTGTTTGGATGTGTGCTGTGTTAGGAGCAACAACAATATCGTGGAAGAACACACCAAACCCTAACCTCTTCCGCAACCCAACCCAACCCCCACCAAACCACCCCCCCCCCCCCAAAAAAAAAAAAAAAAAAATTGGGCATTGTATGCTATGCAATGCATGCATGCAAATATGTATTCTAGATTTGCTATTGACAAGTTTTCCTTACAGATCCCAAGCAACGAATTACTTTGAATGCCGTTGCAGATCATCCTTGGGTCATAGGAGAAGAGGGTCCAATCCCAGAGTTCTTGTGCCATTGCAGGCAAAAAAAATCGTCATGCTCCCCTTGCAGTTCAAGGACTTGCTTTGAATGCTGTTGCTGAGCATCCTTGGATATCTTTGGACAAAATTCTTCCCTTAGATTTCAGCAGAATGCTGATCCTGGCAATGGAAGTAGTTATCCTACTATTTAGTCCTTTTTGTAGCTTGAAATGTGGGGGCATGTAGCTTGAAGTATGTTGTCATAGTAAATTAGTAATCAGTTATACGGCATCTTAGGCTTCTTTGGGTTGGATATTGAAGTACCAATTTGCAAATATTGTTGCATATGATTGTAAAAGCTATACTTAACAGCATGACAAACAGTTATTTTTAAACACCATTCATACAGATGTTTGTATGGTCTCATCAATTACGAACAAATGTTTTGGATATGTAGTGCATGGTATAAATCATTATAATTATTTTAAACAGACCCACTTTGGGTGACTCAGGCGGTGAGTAGGTTTGAATATGACTCTCATGGTATTGGGTTCAATTTCGGGCTGGGTTATAATAATAAAAATAATTATCTCAAATAGAAAATGAATTAAATCAAGTGGATTGTTACCTAAAACTCATAAAGGCATTCATCTCACGAGCAGCATACACAAATACGTTTACAATGATTATTTAATAATTACTTCATGACAGCTATTCGTAACAGAATCCCATTTCGGGGGTGGAGCCTTTTACGCAACCTTTCGCCGTCACAAAAATAAGAAAAAGAAAGAGAAAGAGAACCAACTCCACCATCCCGTCCCTCTCTACCCCACGGGGGAGTGAGTGAGAGAGACGGCGAAATTTATAGTCCCGTTTCGGCTACCCTTTCTTCTTTCTCTCTAGTAATTTTGGGATTTTTGCAAATAAACCCCCCTAACATCATATTGGCAAATTTGGCCATCAGATTTTCAGATTTGCAAAATTTACCCTCGATTCTCTCACATTGTACTTGTTGACCCCTTTAACTTATTGTTGATTTTTAAGTGGTATGATGTTAAAAAATTTAATAATTTTCAATAAGTTTGCAATATTTTCTCGTTTAGATAGAAAAGTTCAATGTGAGAGAATTGGGGAGTAAATTTACAAATACCAACACTCGGATGGTAAATAGAAGATTTAATGCTATATTTACAAAAACCCTTTTTTTGTTTTAAAGGATAAATCTTACGTTTGAGATTTTGCACAAAATTCTTCTGAACTTTATTCCACAAAGCCTCCTTAACTTGGGGACTTTCACAAAATCCTCTTGAACTTAAAAAAATGTACTACTAACAGAGCGAATAAAAAAGTGACTACATGACAGCGAAAAATGAGATTACATCCCTACTATATTTTTATTTGTCGCTTGATGGTTCTAAACTTATGACAGTGAAAAATAAGATTACGTCTCCACTATATTTTTACTTGTCACTTGATAGTTCTAAACTTCCTGATATTCTAAGCTTCCTATAATTTTTTTGTGTCACTGAAGAAACGATATACATGTATTTTCATTTTCACCTCATGAAAAAGAGGCTTATCTACACTTAAATTTCCCAGTGTTCGCATCATATTTCACCTCATGAAAAAGAGGCTTATTTACACGGTGTCATAGTTAAATTCTTTTTGAACTTTGGGACATTTTTAGGAAATTTTTTAGCCTATCAAAGCTACTAATAGGGTTTAATTGCAATTAAATGCCCTATAGTTTCACCAACATTACACTTAAAAGATTTCTATTTTAAAATCGAGCAAATAAATGCTCTAAAGTATTTAATTATTGCAGATAAATGTCCCAAAGTTAAAAAGAACCTAGTTACTCTACATGTCAAGAACATCACATAACAGAGGATACTAAAGTGTAACTTTTAGAATTTTTAGGGTATTTAAGTTAGACCATTTAAAAGCTGAGGGTATGCAACATTAGGTATAGAAGGGGGCACCATAGTGCAACATTTTAAAACTTTAATATATTTATCTATAATTTTTTAGACACTTTTAGGCATTATGTGCTCGATTTTAAAATATAGATCGCTTAAGTGGAAGATTGGTGAAACCATAGAGCATTTAAGTGTAAACTTTGGGGTATTTAAGTGCAAATAACATCAAAAAAAACAAGGGCACAGAATATGTTATACCCTTATTTTCATTTCAAGCAACCCAAAAATCCTTTCCCCTCCATTAACATATTCTTCACATATATAAATTTAAAAAACAATTATAAAATGAACAAATCAAGCTCTTAAGGCAGCTACAGAGTGCTTTCATTCATCTTCTCCCCCACCACCATCTCCACTATCATCAGCCTCCATTATTCTCTTCTATTTTTAACCACTCTTTATATTCCCCTAAATATTGCCTTCATTATTGAGTTTGGGGGTTAGTTCTTTTTTTTCTTATTGAAAAAAAAAAGATTTTTATTCGAGCCCATCGAAGAAAACGTGCTCCAAGATCGCACCTTGACGTGTTTTCTAGGGTTTTCACGCTAATCCCACGAATTCCCTATCCAGTTTCACCAAGATCGCATCTTTATGTGATCTCTAGTCTCTTCTCGCAGATCCAACAAAGCCCTTCAAATCAGTTTCTAGGGTTTCATTTACAGAAATGGGGAACGCTGGGAGCAGTGGAGCTCAGAGCAGGAGAAGGCATTCGAACCCTAATCATCAAATTGAGCCCTCTCCTCAAGTCCCTCCCCCAATTCAGCAGCACCCTCAGCCCTCTCAGCCGCCGGAGATGCCGGGAACCGCTACGTTTTCGCCGCCGCAACCCCGTACCCTCCCCAATTCCCAAACCCTAACCCTAACCCTAACATGCCCCCTTATTATCAGTTTGCCGGATATTACCCTCCTCCACCGCCGCCGCCGCCGTTGCCTGCACCTTTTGATCACCACCACCGAAACCCAGGGCCTGGGCCCGGGCCCCACCACCCAAATTGGGGTGGAGGGAGGGGCCCATACCCTTGTGGGCCCCCGCCTCCACAGCTGGCGCCCTATGTGGAGCATCAGAAGGCGGTGACGATTAGAAACGATGTAAACCTCAAGAAGGAGAGCTTGAGGGTTGAGCCTGATGAGTTGAATCCGGGGAAGTTCCTTGTTGCCTTCACTTTTGATGCCACTGTTGCTGGAAGGTAATATTATTTCAATAACATTTGTGTTAGATCCGAATATAATTGTCATGAACCGTATATAGTGAGTGTAGTATAGGAGGACTAACACTCTCTCGAGTCATGGCTGAGAAGGAATCATTAGTTCTGCATTATTGACAGCAAAAACAGACTATTATGCTAGAACTTGTTTGATTGTATTGCATTAATTTGGCTAGAATGTGTTCATTGAGTGGCAATTTCGAGCTAGTTATGGTTGAAAAATCCTGTGTTATATATAAGCGTCTGAATTCATCCTGTATACTTCCTAACTTGACGGTTGCTTGAAATTTAAAAAAATGTTTACTTATGTCATACTATTACGTATTTGGGTAACTTGTAGATAAGCCCCATCATCTATATCTTCAGTGGAATTTATCACCTTTCCGCTAATTTATTATCAACTGTTATCCCTCAGTTCATTGGTAGAGGGGGTTATATGAAATTTATCCCTCTCAAAATGCCTACCCTGGGGGTGGTAATTGCTAATGGATGAGTTGAAGGATCTATAATTTACACTATATAGTTTAACTTCAGCAGCCAAGAAACAAGTGTTTTGGTTTTTCAAAATAGTCTTTAGCATGATGACAAAATTTATCTGTGAATGTCACATTATTCTTAGTAGTACAAAACAGTGAAATATTTGTCATTCCTAATAATTTTTAGTTAAACACTTTTTTTATGTGTTCTTCTTTGAAGTTAACTAGCTAAGCGCTGAATTGGAGAATAACTACGTTTGAAATGGCCATTTATTGCGAGATTGACGTACCAGACATCAACAAGGCCATGGTTATAATCATGTTTAAGTTAATTTGTGTGTCTTTATCTTTACAAACTTAGTCACTTAGTTTTCACGGGTTTCAAAGAGTTTTCACTGTTAAGAAATTGGCTAAATTGTAGCAACACCATATTGCAAGATTTATTATTTTTGGTGATCTTTGCCATTCAAATACTTGACCTTACAGCTTTTTTTTGGAGAATGGAGGGTTTATATATCTAAGGCAAATATGCTCATCTCTATACCAGGAGGCATACATGAAGCTTACATATACTAAGGTAGTACCCATTTGTTTTCAAAATGACTGGTTGCACTAAATGTATTTCTTCAATTAAAGTTTGTTTAATTTTTGCTTAACACATACTAACTTTGCTTTATGTATGAGATTTGACCTTTCCATTTCTTGTATTGTCTTACTAGCATTCTCTCATTGACTTACATGAATCTTTTTTCCCCCCTGTAAACAGCATTTCGGTATGTTTCTTTGCAAAGGAAGGATTCGACTGTAACTTAACTTCGACAAAGGAAAACTTCCTTGAGCCTGTCACCGTATCTTTCAAGGAAGGCCTTGGCCAGAAGTTCAAGCAACCATCAGGTACTGGAATTGACTTCTCATTGTTTGAGGAAGCAGAGTTAATGAAAGAGGGAGAGCTGGAAGTTTACCCTCTTGCTGTGAAAGCAGAAGCTTCTTCATCTGAAGATCAAAGACCGGACAGTGAAAATGAGAACATAAGTTCTTTGAACTCACAAATCACACAAGCTGTGTTTGAGAAAAAGGAAAAGGGTGACTATAAAGTACGTGTAGTGAAGCAAATATTGTGGGTAAATGGCACTAGATATGAGTTGCAAGAGATTTATGGGATAGGAAATTCAGTTGATAATGATTTTGATGGGAGTGATCCTGGAAAAGAGTGTGTTATTTGTCTCTCAGAACCTCGGGATACAACTGTTCTCCCTTGCCGACATATGGTAAGTTTTTTTATTGTCAAATATAAGACTTATTACAACTCTTCTACAATATTATTTGCATATTGTCTTTGTGATATGTATTCTTTTCCTTCAATTTAGTGAATTTTGCCATATGTTCCGTATTTAGGTTCTTTTTCACCCCCTGATGATGTTATGACCATTTTTTTTTGATCAAATACAATAAAAAAGTATTTTAAGTACTTTTTATGTCCAGAGATGGTGGCCTCAAATAAAATAATTAGTTAATAAGATCGTAAGACCAGCCAAAATTGTTTTTCTTTTTTCTTTTCTTTTTTCACTTTCCTTGTTGAGAGGGGTAGGGTAGGCTTGCTAAGGTTTCTTTGGTTTGGTAAAAGCAAGGAAATGACACTAGGAATGACCGACTAGAGTGATTTCCTTCACCCTCTGTTTTAACCTTGAAGGGAAAAAAATTGCTTTGGATGTATATGAATGAATTTTAAGGATGTGAAATTAAAATTAAAATGAAAACTTCATGATCGATTAATGGAATTTAAAATGAAAGTGAATCAGAGAGAAAATGAGATGATGTCAAAGAAGAAAAAGGATGGGTAAATTAAATTGAAATCATTGACACGCCTCTTTGATGCTTCTGTCAATGACTGATAGGAGCAACTGCTTTATTTTTAACCTTCTTTATTATGATGGAAATTTTCAGGAGAGGAAATTTTAGATACTCACTTGTTTTCTTGTTTTTATTTTGGAAATATCCCTTAAGATTGTATATTGGTTTTATCTCTAAATGAGCCAATTCCTAAGCAAAGTTGGATACCATTCCCCCAAAATGATATTCAGTGACAGTATCTCCTCTGATAAAATTTTGTTTGAATTTATTCTGGCAAGTGCTCGAAATGATATTTGCTTTACTGAGGTCAATTATCACGTGACAGACCCTAAGTTGCATGGATACAAGTACAGGACACGGTAAATTTGTAAAAGTAGGGTACAGGGACATGGCTGAAATGCGTTGGGCTGAAATCATAGTTCTGAGTCATACACAAAACGGCCCTTCGTATTCATAGTTTTTAACTGAACATGGGCTTAAACAATCCTGACCCTTGTCCAACAAATTTCTAAAGTGGATGTGCAGTATGTGTCCAAGAAGTGTATGACAAGTGATTTAATTATTTAAAGTAAAACATGTGTTGTATAATTGAATACACATTTGAATATATGTATATACGTATTTAAGGAGCGTCTAAGAATGTCAGGTATAGGCACTGATAGAGGACGTGTTGGGTACAGGTACGGGTACGGCTTATGATTGAAGTGCCCATGCAACATAGGCCAGACCTAATGGAAGAGTGAATTAGATTCATTTGCAAGAAAGAGATTTTCCATTTAAATATTAATGGGGGATACTTCTAGCTTATGATTAATTATGTCGAAATAAATAGGTCCATATCTTGAACTTAAATTTTAAACGAGATTTATAATGGCTTGATGGGGGGTAGCTTTCAAAATTTTAAAATGCAATTGGAGAGGGGAGTTTTGTCCAATTTGCAAATAACTTTTGTCACTCTCCAAAAGAGATCTTACCAGGATCGTACTTGCTGGCAACAGTTTGTATTTGATTTGCCAACGTTGGCCATAAAAATATAGCTTTACATTTATAACTGTAGATCAACAAAATTTCGAGTTCAGTTCTGAAACAAGTTGTTAAACCATGCGAGTTTATTTTTTATTAGAAAAAATGAAAAATTATTTGTTATATATGTATATATATATATATGTTTATTTTTATTTTATTTTTTTGTTGCAGTGCATGTGCAGTGGCTGTGCAAAGGTTTTAAGGTACCAAACAAACCGATGTCCCATATGTAGGCAGCCAGTAGAGCGATTATTGGAGATTAAAGTCAACAACCGGTCTGAAGAGCGACAAGCAGTGGAGCACAATTGATCCATGTATCAATCTGCAAACAGAGTGGAGTGGGCTGTATAATTATAATCCTTTTTGAGATCAATTTCAATATGTTGTTTATATTGGCTCAAGATGAATCATGAAAAAACACTTCTGTTTTTATATGTTTTCACCATAATGGTTGCTTGCTAAAACAATATTGTGCAACAGTGGAAGCAAAGTATATATTTAGTTGCCTGTATTAATTACATAAGTCATAGATTCTCTGTACCAATATTTTCTTGTTTCTATTGTGTGCTGTTTATCCTTTCAGCATGAAAATTCTAGTTGAATATGAATTTAAGGTGGAAGTCCTCTGTTTGTTTTTTCTGTTGTAAGAGCATCTAAGAAAATGTTTAGCATTCTATTTGATGGAGGTTGCAGTTCTTTTTGTGGGGGAGATCTATCCAAAAGTGATGCACATGAAGGATGACGCTAAGGAGCAGAAGCAGGACGAAAGATGAGTATGTGGATTACTTAGTTTTGTTTTTGTTGTTTGATGCGTACATATGCATCATTTTATATAGTGCATATTGTTTATTTTTATCTTCCATGTAGTTTCAAATTATTGATGCCCAAGCTAGATTCTCATTGGAAGCTTCTCTATTTGTTGGCGTTTGCTAACCTTATACTTTTTTTTTTCCTAACGGGAATCGAACCCAAGAACTTAGAAGCCACATTGGAACCTCTCAACCATCCGGGCAACAGAGGATCCCCAATCTCATACCTAGTTGGAGATGAATCATATTGTTAAATTTGATGTTTTCATCTTAACCTAAATAGCCTATGTTGTATAGTTCGTAGTGCTCTGCTTTTTTTTCAGTAAAGAAACTCTAAGCATGTTCTAATGATGAAGAGTTTGAACAGGTGATTTAGTATCTGTCTACAAGCTCCTAGTGATGTTCTGATCATTTATTCAGTTTCAACTTTCTTCTATAAGCCAGCTCTAGTTGTTTTTTTGCTAATTTCATTCTTATTTCTTTCTCTACCGCTCCATCATACACGTCCATTTTTGCTGAGGCCTTGTTCTAGTCGTTGTTTTTGAGCTAAAAAAGTTTGACGCCAAAATAAACCTCTTGGTGTGTGCTATACACAGACTGCTGCTAGTATTCTAAACTTTATAACACACGTAGACTTACCTGGTATTTATTGGTGATGTAGTTAAAATATCTACGATGAATAATGGGGTTTCATTTGCTTGTCCATATTTTTTGGGATATATGCACATATGTTGGAAGTGGTGGTGATGATTATGAGGTACAGTCTTCTATTTCATACTCTTCTTATTCTTTTTCCCTTTCTTTTTGTTACTACAACAGAAATTTCATGTTATAAATAAAACACTACTTAGATTGTAATATAAATAGTTTTTTAGGGCTTTTTTTTTCCTGGACACCATCTTAAAAATAGGGTCGTTATACATAAATTACTTTTTATTTTCAATTTATACGTAAGCCATCTTTAAAGTAGGGGGGTTTTCCCCAATCCACCACCTCCCAACCAAAATAAGAACCTAAAAATATCCTTAAAAACAAATATTAAAGACATGTGCCTCAGCCTCACTTTGTTAATGTTTTTGTGTTTTTAGAATAAAAGTCACATACCTTAAACGTGTGTTTTATAAGGTTATTTTTTTTATATTTTAGTGAAAATTTAACCAGAAGGTGGTTGATTAAACAAAAAACCACTTTAAACATTTGTCCAGGAGGCATAAATTAAGGATAGTTCTAGGAGAAACCCAACTCTTATTTCTAGTTTCTACATTAAGGGTTAGTAGAAAAGAAGACCCCTTTCTAAGAGGAAATAATTGCTTTCCCTAAGATGTTGACACCCTAATCCTTGTTGTCTTGACTTTAAGCAGGTTAATCACATTGGCGTATCTCTTTAAAAAATTAAATTTTTTTTCTTCTTCCGCAATCGGAGATATTTCTTTGCGCCTTCCACTCACATGTTATGGGCGCTCCGCAAGGTTCCACTATAAGCTGTCTTCAAAAGCTGGTGCTTGAAGCTACGTCAGAGATATCGAACAGATCTGATGGTGCTCTTGATTTCTGTACTTTTCTCTCCGTGGTTAATTTCAATGCAATCGAGACTGGTAATTGACATTCTTTATTTCACTATAAATAATAAATACGGTTGCAATACAGTTGCAAAAATACCTCTTATTTCCATCCGGTGCAGCCAAACAACTTAAAGCAAACTTGGACGCGCATTATAGTTGCTACCCATTTGACTTACAAAATGTCAACGACAACTACGGCTGTAATTGTAAAATTTTAAAACTGGGCCAAACTAGCATAACTAGGGGTGCATTCGGTCCGGATACGGCTTGGATATGATACTTATTATATTCATATCCGCTTACCCATTTCGGATAAGGATACAGATACGGATATACCTCGGTAAGAAAAATTCATATACATATCCGTTAAAATCAGATACGGATACGGATATACATGCAGATATATAAGCGGGTATGCATGCGGATACAAAATGGATATGAGAAAACTAGATAATATTGGAAAAAAATTGTAGTCCATGTGATGCAAAAGAGTTCATTAGTATGTTCATTATATATGTAAAGCTAAGATTAGATACCTTGATCATTAAAACTAACGTCAAATCCGTAATCTAAGGATTAAAACTACCGTATGACTAATATGTTTTCGGATATTTAGAATACAGATCTGAATATTTCACTACAAAACTATATCCATAACCATATCCTATCAGTTATATATTTGGGTAATCATATCCATACCCTAACGAATACAGTTACAGATATTTCATCGGATACAGATACATTTTAGCACTCCTAAACGTAACTATAGAAATAAGCAACAACACCTACAACAATTGCAGCTGCATGCAACTAACACTTAACTTGCAATTATACATAGCTTCAGTGAACTCTGTTGGAATTGAGATAGTTTATCTGTACGTGACTCTGTGCCTTGGATTTCTATCTGTTTCTTTAATACGAGCAAATTTATTTCTGCAGTGACCACGATCTTAGCAGTGGATTAAGATTTAAGACCGTTATTAAATCCATGCATCTAGAAGTGCGCAACCTTATAACTTGACATTGATGCAGCGGACCTGTATTGCTCTTTTGAACTTCATTGTCCCTCTGCATGTACTTTTGCTGATAGGCCCCCTGTGAAATTTTTTTGACTGCGTTACTTCGGGTGAATGAGAAAATTATTTTTCTTTTATGAAAAATAAACATCCTTGATACAAAAGAGTAAAAAAAAAAATTCACTTGGGCAGTCTATCTGAAAAAAAAGAGAAGTATAGTAACTTAAAAGCAATGATATTGTACTGGGTTTATCCGCAATTAGTCCTAGTAATGGTTAATTCCACCACACATACTGATGTTGGTTGATCTTTGTACCTCACCAATTGGTGCTATATTCTAGGGGATTTAAAGTATAGGTGTATGTAAATTCATGCTTTTTGTCTCAAAAAGAGAAGGTTGAAGACAATAGTTTGGTAAAAGACTGGCTTCGATGTGTAGGAGTATGAATATGAAAGAATGACTGTACGTCGACACGTACTAAACATTTTTGGAAGAGAACATGTAAAAGACTAGAAAAGAAAGGTGCATGAACGTATGTTTGTTGTTCATAAGACATTTTTTGTTCTCTCGTACGCTGATGATAAGACCAGAATGTGGCCAGCAATGGAATGAGGCACAAAATATGCAGAAATCCCCCTGAGATATTCATGATTGACTGAAATGTCTCTAAAATTTTAAGAATGACCCTTTAGTTGTTGGGGAGAAACCCTTGTGCCGAGATCCAACCAAATAGCCGAGAGAGATAAACAACACATCAAAGATAGCACAAACACAAAATACACCAGTTTTAACGTGGTTCGGCAAGATGCCTACATCCACGGGACAAGGAAGGGGAAGTTTTCACTATTAGAAATCAAGGGGATACAACTAGGGTTACAAATCTCACAAAAAACCATCCACAAATCACACTTGATCTCTCCAAATGCTCCTACTATAGCAGCCTAACAAAACCCCTCTTTCTTCAGCTCAAAACCCTTGCGTACAAACCCTAGAAACGAGTTATGGGTATTTATATAACTCCCAAACGAAACCGGTCTGAAACCCAGATTCTGCCCAAACCGCTTCGACGGTCGACCATGACGGTCGACCGTGATGCCATCGCGGTCGACCACCATGGTCGACCGATCAAATCCAGAACTGCCTATTCTGAACCCATCAACTGTCAATCCTACAAATCTCCACCTCGACGAAGATTCCCAAAACTGAGCCGACACCCACCAAACCAATGGCTCACTTGTTGCATCCAGTACGCCATGGCAACAGACTCATGACAACGGATTCAATCCATAACAAATAGAGACCCAAACGGGAGTGCGAGCACTCACCCCAAACTAGCAGTGTCTACTCACCAAATCGGCTGCATCAAAACTGACTGTCTACGTATCCTCTCTAAGGAATCAAGCCTTCACGTAGTTCACCAAATGGCCTCCAAAGGCCCTCAGTCCAAAAGAAGAGTTCTCAACTCCTCACCAATACCAATATCCACTCTGCAGCTGATAGCATCATCAACGGCCCCAACCTGAAACAAGTCAAACACCTCAACCTGAGGTGAATCAATGGTCGTATCCAAGCTATATCCACCAGCTGCACTCGGATCTACCAACTCATCATCTGCATCCGAATCCAAATGACTCTCACGCTGTGCCACCTCAGCTGGAATCCCAAATAATACAGAATGACCTAGAGTATGTGGAGTAAGCTCCACCCAATGTGGAGCAGCATCACCCTCCACCCGCTGTGATATCCCACTGATTGTAGGCTGTCTAAAAATCATAATGAAGGTTACAATTTGACTATCTTCACAATAACTGATGAAAGCTCTGATCAATAGTCTTCACAATCAATATCGGGAGTTACAATCTGACGACTCTCATATTTTCAAGGAGCCAAGATGAAGATTACAAGATAATAGTCTTTGCAACGCCCTGCAGAAGAAGCTATAAGTCATTGGCTCCTTCTAAAAAACGCGGAATTCGTCTTCGCGTTTCAATTCCTGAAACGCAGGCGACCCCCGCGTTTCCAAGCTTCAACAAGCAAAACACGAGCGACCCTCGCGTTTCCAACCTTCAGCAAACGAAGTGCAGGCGACCCCGCGTTTCCAACCTTCAGACTCCAAAACGCCAGCAGCCCTCGTGTTTTTCAACACCCAGCGAGTACCCAACTCCGCGTCTTCATTCTAAAACACGGAGTTAGGGTCCTGAACGCCAACGTGGGCGTTTGACTCGTTCAAACACGAGCTGAATGGTTG